TTAAAAAAATATTTTCCTCTCAGTATCTGACGCGACTACATACTTAACTTAAAATTTCACGCTTCTAATAAAACATCTAGTCTTGTTTAGTCTAGTGGCTAGCTTTCTGAGTGCTGTACCATGAATGCTGGGTTTTTTCCTTGCGGCACATTATTTTTTTGGATTTTTTTAATTTCCAAGCGCGGGTTGTTTGTACGCTAATGGGCCGTCCCATTGCGGCTCTGTGCGTTCTGCGATTTCTTTTTGACAGAAACGAATCGGGAGAACCAAAAAACGCTCGCACGAGGAAACGGGACGTACGAAAATTATATGGATCCCACCGTGAACGAAAAAAATTGGAGAAACATTCCTTTTTTTAATATTAGGTACAGATTAGGTGCCGACGGCGGGGCTGCTGCCCGCCGGGCGCAGACAGGCGATGTCGTCTGAGACAATGCGCGGCTCGTATCCCAAGGAAAGCACAGGATAGATTTTTATACACTGCTGCTAGTTTGTAATTCGATTCTTTTCTTTTTTGTCCCCCGCCGCTGCTTTTTCTTCATGTTGGATGTATGTTTGCTGATGATGATACGACTTTGTTTTTTGTTGTTGTTGTTGTTGTTGTTGTTGTTGTTGTTGTTGTTGTTTAAAAGATGTGTTTGACAAGTGGAGGGGACTGTTAGTGTTCCGCTGTATGAATACTTGGAATATGTAGTTAATTTTTTTTTTGAAAAGGAGGTTGAATCCCGGTCTTTGCATGAATCGATTGCATGCAACCATCTTTGTTAATTATTTCACAACGGTCTTATAAGAACATACATCAAATGACGCGAAGCCATCACTCACACTTACGAATTCGATAATAAGGAGTGATGTCACTTCCCATATCTACAATCCGTGTCATCGCCGATCCATCCATATCAGGCCCGTATCAAGCATCAGTACAGGATGTGCACATGTACAGGGCCCCCAAATCAATGGGGCCCCAAATCAGTGAGAGTATCAGTGAACTAGTGGACTAATTTGCAAGTAGTATTAGGTATAAGCACCGATAGTTTAATAACCAAAACAGGGATTTACTGGTACTACTCCAAGGAAGTAAATTAACTCAGCCAACTAATACTAGTACATGGGAACTTGCACAAATTAATGTTCCAGCCTCTTCTGACGTATGGCTTTTTTTATTCTCTTTTTATGAGATTCTCACGCATGGCTCTCTATCTTTTTATCTTCGGCTTCTTTGGAGATTAGGCACAGTACCCCCTCCTACTCCTTATCAATCTTCACTCCTTGATCCGGAATTTAGTCTATAATCCGCATCAATCTTCACTTCTTGATCCGGATTTTAGTCCATAATCCTCATCAATCTTCACTCCTTGTTAAGGTTCCACTCCCAATCCCCCGTCTGTTAATTCTTTGCAATTTCCCGAATATAATCCATTGCAATGAGGCCAAAAAAAAGAGAGCATCCAATAGGTAAAGTTCCACTCTCAATCCCCTTCTACTACTAATTTTCTGCAATTTCCCCAAATAATCCATTGCAGTGAACATCGAATAGGTACTCTTCTACTTTCAATCCTCTCTTTTTTTTGGGTGGTCTGTTCTTCTCGAATCTTAAATTGGTAGGGCTGCATATCGGTGTTTCTCTCGATAGCTTCGCTATTTGTTGCCAGCCCTACGACTTGTGTGGATCAGCATCAATTGTAGACTGCGATTGGAAGCTAAGGTTTTTTCATTTCTTTCTATCTCTATGCTCAGTTCTTAAGTGTTGATGTATGTCTCTTAGCTTTAGTTTCTGCAATGTCTTGAGATTTATGCAAAAAAAATCAGGTAATTCAGATGAGGAAGTATAAGTCATGACATGAGAACATAAGAAAATGTGAAAAATGTAAAAGGCCCATAATTTGATTTCGCACCGGGCCTCCATTTTCTCAGGTACGGCCCTGATCCATATAACGTATCGGGACTAACAACCGGTGCAACAGACCTAAAGCGCACACCACATGCACATGTTTTAGAAGCCGCCATCTTTGTCGGACCACTGACCCATCTTCAGGAGATAAGTCCGCATCATCCTTGCCAGTCCGGACATCCGTCGACGCCACCACGGCGCCAACGGCACCACCGTCATGCACTCGTCCGTCCAGGCATTAAGATTCTGGAAGGTCTGTCGTGCGTAGCACCTGCCAACCAGACATGTCTCAGCGTAGCACCTGTCGCCCATGCATGACCTGACAGCTCCACCGAAAGCTTCGTGCAAGACGGAGCCGCTCCACCTCCTGCCTGTGCCTTCTAGTGCTGCTCCACAAACGATGCTCCCAGGAGAGAAACCGTCACCGCAATACCGCCACCGTCTGATCTGGAGAACCAGATCCTATGGTTTCCCCCGAAGCAGTGCTCATCACTAGCAACCGTCAGGGACCCACACAATGCCCACCACCACTCAACCCTCAAGGCGACGGCTTCAGGAAGGTCACGACATCAAGGACGCCACCGCCGCCCACCGGAGTTAGGGTTTTCACCTGAGAGGTAGAGAGGGAGGAAATGAAGGAGCAGACATAGACCGACGTCTCCAAAAAGAAAAGCGGCGCCCTTGAGCGTCGTCGTCGGCGCGGTCGGAGGTTTCCTCCAATCTAGATCTCCTTAGCAGGCCCACCGAAAAGCCCTAGAGCCACCGCTCCGGCTTCCTATCTCCGCCACCACGCTTGGCGCCAAGGGTCGTCGTCGCGCGCAGCCCGAATCCGTCCCCAGGATGAAGGTTTTTTTAGGGAACTCTACTGAAAGATAATTTTACTATATTGGCTGTGATGTTAGGGCGGCCTGTGTTCTCAACTCGTGTTTGTAGTTACAGCTTTTTTTTGCATGGTAATACGTGTCTCATTCATATCATAAAGAACAAAGTACAAATCACGTAAAGACCGACATGACAATACTGAGAAGATAGTAGAACATCTCTGAGCTTGACACCAACGCTCGTCAACTGCTTCCGGCACCACCACAGCAGCCACCGAAAAAAAGAATGACGAATCATCACCTCACCCGAGCTCGACGCGGCTCCATCGCTGATATGCAGCTTTGCGGACCTCCAAAGTGGCTCACCAAAAGTGAAGCCCTTGCCGTTGAACGAATCAGACCGGGGCAACACCCCGGACACGCCATCGAACTCCAGATCTGGCACTCCACCACGACTAAGACGCCGAAGGAGGAAACCATACCTTCCATCCACAAACCACGAACCCAGTAGATATTCCGTCTTCCAGATGTCGTCGATGCAGACCACAATCTGCATCCGCTCCTGGACTACCTCCCAAGCTCCGCGTCGACGCTGGAGCAAACGTCGTCACAACGGCGGAACCCGAGGACACAGGTCCACCACAAGGATGCCGCCGCCGTCACACCATCCTTGCTTGAACAGACTGGTTTCCAAATCCATCCCCAACCATAGGACCGATGGCCTCGTCAGGGAAGGATCCGAAGATTCATTATTCAGCGCCGCCATCGCCATCACCGAAGCAAAGATGATAAACAACCTAAAAACCTAAACTATAAGAGAGAAAAATCGATCCACACGCGTGGATCCGGCGGCCCCTCTCACCACCAACGACCGAGGTCGCCGGCGGAGGGGAGCCGCCGGAGAACGGCGTTGGGAGATTGGCACTGGCGGCGGCTAGGGTTGCAGCCGCCAGAGACGAGAGGAAAACTGGCGAAGCGTTTCTACAGGAAGACAGTTACAGCTGACGAGTGAGACCTTATGAATAAACACCGTCCGAGCGAGCGTATATATTGGTATAAAGTACTTGTTGCGCGTACACACACTTGAGCATCAGCTCAGCTGTTTTCTCCGGTTCAGACGTGCACTGCCGGGACAGGACATCTGAAGCCCGAGTAGTCTGTATACGATGTACGTAGTGGCTTCGCAATGTGTTCAAATGGACCGTTGGCTCTTTGAAGGCAAAATAAAATAAAAATGTAAGGGAAAGCAAAACCATGCATGCATTGATTGATGCTTCAGCTCAGTTCAGTAGTTGGACTTGGATGGGACTTGACGTTCACGGTGGGAGAGGCAGCAGCAGCTAGCCACTAGCCAGAGCCAGCGATGAACCGTCTTCCGGTCAAAATAAACGGCGACGGGCTAGTGCCTAGTGGCCTACACACTCTCCTCTGGGCTGCCGCCCACGCGGTGCCACTAGCATCGCTCTCCTCACTCCGCCGCGTTCAAATTTTTGAATAGGCTTCTCTTCTCTCGCCAACCTCCACCAGCGCCCGCCACCAATCGGCTCGTTTCGCCTTCAACTCCGCCGATGTCTCCGCGCACGCTGCCGTCACGGCCGCCGGGCCCGACGCGGCGCCTCACGATGGCGCCCAGCCCCGGCCCCAGCACCGGCGCGGTGCCCGCCTCCAAGCGCCGCCTCGACTTCCCCCAGGCAGCCGCCGCGGCCACGCCCCCGCGCTCGGCCAAGCGCCGCCGCCCCGCCAACCTCTTCGCGGCGGAGGACCTGGTCCAGCTGGTCGGCAGCATCCGCCGCGACCTCGCCCGAGTCCACGCGGGCACGCCCTCCGCCTCCACTCGCAGCCTCCTCCCCCGCTCCCCGGCCACACCGATGAGCAGGAGCGGCAGCCACCTCCTCCTCCGCTCCCCGGCCACCCCGAAGAGCACCAACACCCGCCACCTCCTCCATTCCCCGGCCACCCCGAGGAGCGCCGCCCGCCGCCTCCGCGTCCCCACCGCCGCAGCGCGCCAGGAGCGCCCGGTGGAGGCGGTCGCGCGCATCCGGAGCCTAACCTCTGCCGACGGGAGCGCGGAGTCTGCTCTGGAGGTCGTCGGCGGCGGGACGTCGGTGCGCGTGCGCCACGCCGGCGCGTGCCGCGAGTTCGCGCTCGACGGCGTGTCGGCGTCGGCGGACGAGGGCCTGGAGGCCTTCTACGCCCGGTTCGTGCGGCCGAGGGTCGAGGGCGTGCGCGCGGGCGCCAAGTGCACCGTCATGGTCTACGGGCCCACGGGCTCCGGGAAGAGCCACACTATGTTCGGCTCGGACGAGCAGCCCGGCGTCGTGTACCGCGCGCTCACGGACGTCCTAGAGGGAGGCGGCGACGGCGACGGCGAGAGCCTCGTGAGGGTCTCCGTGCTCGAGATCTACAATGAGCAGGTCTACGATCTGCTCGCCGGCAGCGGAGGAGCCAATCCCAAGGTCACACTAAGTGTCACTTCTGCTTTTTCTTACATTTAACATGAAGGTTTTAGGTTTATGCGTAGTACAATGAGTCCATTACAAGTGGGTGTTCGTTGTCACGTACTTAAGTTGCCCGATTATTCAGGGACACTCATAGTAGTATCACTGGAGGCCAATAGCTGTCTGCTGTCAGGCCCCAAGGATTGGTGTACACCTGAATTTGTTGTAGCATGAATCTTCAGAAGCCAAACTTGAGCCGACGAAATACGTCAACATCTATCTTGTCAGGGAGTGTGGATTTGTAATAGGAACAAAAGCCAGGAATGCATGGGAGGGTGAATCTATAATGCAGTCAAGTGTGTGGCGATTGAATCTATATAATACATATACCTGGTAGCAAGGCCTGAATTTTGTGATACTGATGCATACGAGTGTCATTTTGTAAAAGGAACTTTTGGGTTGATATAATTTTGTTGAATCTTTTCAATGCACTATGTACAGGTAAGGCTAGAACTGATGGGAACAAGAGCCAAGAATGCAACATATATATCTGGAAATGAAGCAGGGAAGCTATCAAGAGAAGTCGCCGAAGTGGAGAAGCGGCGCGCTGTGAAGGGCACGAGCTGTAACGCGAGGAGTTCGTGGAGCCACTGCATGGTTGTTCTTCTGACTTGTATATGTGCTTGCAGGCATGCTGTTTATAAGATATATGCCTTCTCATGGGCTTTGCTTTGTGTTGCTTGTGCAGATAGTCTTGGATGTGCCGTCGGTGGGAGGAAGGCTCATGCTTGTGGACATGGCAGGCTCTGAGAACATAGAAGCTGCAGGCCAAACTGGACATGAAGCCAAATCTGAGGTGACACCTTAACAATTTAAGTCTTTTTCCAGTTTCTCGCTGAAAAAAATGACCAGCATGTTACTGCAGTTGAATAATTGTTATGAACCTGATGTAGTAGAAGAAAATTAACTCATGTTGAAGGACTGCATGAACATATTTTAGCAGCTAACCGGAGTAATGAACTGCAACGGTATACGAATTCTGGTTAGACAAATAGCAACTGCATGAACATATTTTAGCAGCTAACCGGAGTAATGAACTGCAACGGTATACGAATTCTGGTTAGACAAATAGCAACTGCATGAACATATTTTAACAACTCATGTTTATGAAGCCAAATCTTTACGGAGAATTATAACTGAATTATGTTTTCAGTTTCTCTTTGAAAAATTGATCAGCATATTATTGCAGTTGAATCATTGGTATGTAGCTGGTATGCATTTTTCACAGCTTGTAGCTGATATATATATGCTAGAAGAATTATCCATGACTTATTTGTAGCAGCTGAGCTAACTAATAAGCTGGAACTTGCAAATCTGAGATGTGCATTGTTACAGAGCATTATAACTTTTTTTTGCGGCGTTACAGAGCATCATATCTGAAGTATGTTTTTCAGTTTTTCTTTGAAAAAACGATCGGCGTCTGTTGCAGCTGAGCTAACTAATGAGCTGCAACTTGCAAATTCAGTTAATAATTTTGTTGCACACCTGCTTCATAACACTGGTTAGTATCCAGTTAATAAATCTGAGGTGCGCAATGTTACGGATAATTATAACTAAATTATGTTTTTCAGTCTCTCTTTGAGAAAATAATCGGCATGCTATTGCAGTTGAATCATTATTGTGTAGCTGATATGCATTTTTGACAGCTTGTAGCTTATATTCTACAAGAATTTACTCATGATTAAACACGCCATAACATATTTGTAGCAGCTGAGCTAACTAATGAGCTGCAACTTGCAAGTTCAGTTAACAGTTTCTTGCACGTTTGGCTTGCGCAGACGGGAAGAATTAATCAAGGGAACACGACGCTGAAGCGGGTGGTTGAGTCGATTGCCAACGGTGACTCACATGTCCCATTCCGGGACAGCAAGCTCACAATGCTACTACGGGTACGGGATAACCACACGTCGTTTCTATTTATCTTCCCCTTATCAGTACCTAATTCAAAAGCTATGTTTCCTAAATGGAATTTCAGGACTCATTCGATGACGAGGGATCCAAAATCCTCATGATCCTGTGTGCAAGCCCTGACCCAAAGGACCTCCACAAGACGATCTCCACCCTGGAGTATGGAGCCCGAGCGAAATGCACCCGTGCAGCAGCTCACGCCTCGACACCGTCGGGCAAGATGAGCTCCAAAGACGCCGGGTACGAGATGCGGTTGAAGGACGAGGAGATTGCACGTCTGAGGATGAAGGTCAGGTTGATGGAAGCAGCCGCGAAGGAGGAAGAGATCCGCGTGAAGGCCGTAGATGAGGAGACCTGGGTACTGAGAAGTGAGATGAGGATGATGGAAGAGAATATGCTTATGCAGCACCAGGAGCTCCTTGCTGTGAAGCAGCGGCTGCAGCAGGTGGAGCGCGAGAAGCTCGACGTGGAGGATGAGTCGCACCTGGCCTGGAGGGTCATGATGAAACTTGCAGTCTACTTGCAAAACCTGGGCAGCCCACTTGAGTGATGGAGAGGTCTAACTGTCTAGGAAGCTTTGTTGCTTTCAGTGTTCTTTCTGGTAGGGTTGTTTCTTTTGGGTGCACTGATAGAAAAAGGGCCTTTAGTCCCGGTTCGTAAGGGCCTTTAGTCCCGGTTCTGGAACCGGGACTAAAGTGTCGGTACTAATGCCCTGACCCTTTAGTCCCGGTTCAATCCAGAACCGGGACTAAAGGCCCTCCACGTGGCCGGTCCACCTTTAGTCCCGGTTGGTAACACCAACCGGTACTAAAGAAAATTTCCTGATTTTTTTTGAATTTTTTTTTTGAATTTTTTTATTTTCAAATTTCTGAATTATTTTAACCTCTAATCTCTAATCACCCCTCATCACTGCTCAATTTAATCTCTAATCACCCCTCATCATTTCAAATCATCTCACTTCCCGAACGGTCACCCATCCTCTCACTACTCCAGCCTGAGCACGCTTAACTTTCGGGTTCTATTCTCCCTTGTTTCCAAGTCTGCACTTGTTGTTTTCCTGACAATAATAAGATGCCAATCCTATTAACCCTCAGGAATTTAGCTTGAGCATGAAGTCACATATTTCACTGTTTGAGTTTAAAACTATTGTTCTAAAAAACAATAATTTTTTAGTAACACTAATATGTTTGAATAAGTAGTTTGACCATTGTTTGACCACAGTTTGACCATAGTTTGACCAGATTTGACCAAAATTTAAAAAAGGTGAAATAATTATTTAATAACACTAATATTCTTGAATAATTATTTAGTAACAAAAACTGAAATTTGAGCATAACTTTTTTTCCTTTTGGAATTTGAGGATTCTAGAAATTTGCAAACAGGCCGTAGGCGGTCTCCATCGGATGTAACTTTTCGAGTAGATGATTTTTCATATAAAAAACTTTTTAATCCGAGTTCGTATGCAAAAGTTATGCCCATTTTACAAATTCCAGAGAGATTTTGTAAATAAAGTCGAAATTCATATTTGTAAATTTTCCCAACAACTAGACCACATATCACATGTGAAACTTATTTTCTTTTATTTTTTGACATTTCCATCATTTTCTTTTATTTTTTTAAAACTGAAAAGGCGATCCACGGGGGAGGGGGGTATAGTTTGAAAATGGGACCTTTAGTACCGGTTCGTGGCACGAACCGGGACTAAAGGTCTCATCCCCATTAGTCCCGGTTCGTGCCTCAAACCGGGACTAAAGGTCTAATCTTTAGTCCCGGTTTGTGGCACGAATCGGGACCAATGGTTGTGGGCCAGGAGCGAGGCCCATTGGTCCCGGTTCATCCCACCAACCGGGGCCAAAAGGTCTAGATGAACTGGGACTAATGCCTTAGCCGCACGAACCGGGACCAATGCTCACATTAGTCCCGGTTCTAGACTGAACCGGGACTAATGGGCTGAGCCGGCCTGGACCATAGCCCTGTTTTCTACTAGTGGTGGTGCTTCAGGACATCTAGGAGAAGATGTGAGTAGTTGACTGTTGCTATATCTACCTTATTTTGGGTTCAACAACATGCTTGCTGCTGCTATGTTTGTAGGAGTTCATGTTAAATTGTTCTCATTGCACGTAAAACTGTGCATGATAGTTTTACGTTGTTGCTCCAATTGCTCATATTTCAATAGTTCTTAGAGGGGGTATTAGAATTGCTTCCGGTTGATTTTAGAGCCTGAAATCTGTTGGTTTTATTGAAAATGGATTGAGGAACACATGCAGTAGTACCTCCATTTGATATATAAATTGGCAGTTTTGAATCACTTTTCGAAGTGTTTATGTTTTTAGAACCGGTATCTTTCACTATAGAAGGTGTACACTGGTTGTTTTTAGAGTTGATAATACCTATCTTGTTCTTTCATCTTACTTGGTGATTTATGACTGAATGTACACAATAACAACTATTTAAGGTTGCACGACGAGGGACTTCAAATAAACCTCTCGTCCCATCTCATATTTGCTCCTTGGTTTCCAGTTCAGTGTGAATGTTCAACTGATAGACATACCTTCGCTGAGAGTAAAGAAGAATACTCCACTCTTCTTGCTCCATGTCCATCACACATTTTATTTTGAACTCATTTAGCTTGATAATGTTGCTCTACTATTTGTAGTTCTCATCTTCCCACACTTATTTTGTCATCGCCAGATTCAATTCGAAAACTATGTGTTCAAGAATGTGCCCAACCATTATCAAGCAACTAAGCGCAACCTCCACTCTGGCCTCTGGGGAGACGCTAATGGCGTGGTGTCGAGAATGTTTCACAAGTGTGCTGACATCCACTCTGCATTTATTTTTTATTTTAAAACTCAGTTTATGTATTTGTTTTTTTAGGGGAGTTTCTGTATTGGTTAATAATTAACAATAGTAAAAAACTTTTACACAGCCTTAACTGTGGAGTATGTACGTCCAACTTAAATTCCATTCATTATTAATCAGTGTGCTGGCTAGCAGTAATATAAACTTTTGCATCGCTACCCTAAAACCTTACTTTAGCATGACCATGTCGTCGTATGTATCACAACTATAGACAATGATATAACATCAGCTCAAGAGACGCAATGTATTCTCCTTCTAAATGGACGAGGGTTAAGAAAATATCATCTGCAAAATGCGCCACACTAATTAGCTAGCCACATGTTGTCATGGCTTTCACAAAAAAAGGCGACCGTACAACCTCAGAGAGATTTCATGGCCTGCAGCAAAGTGATCCGATCTATCTCGTGCAAATGCAATCCCGAGATTTTGACACTTCCGGGGCTAATGAGCTTTGTGACAACGGGTACTGCTTCCTCCGTATTTCCAAGGTCGAGCCGAAAGAGCTGGCCATGGTCTAGAGAAAGGATCACGGAGCCGCTTCTTTCCCCGAACCTCTCGAGTTTAAAGGGCGTGCGGGTGAGGTTGTCATGGACCACGAATCCCGCTTGCCTCAAGATCTCCGCTGCTCCGATCACCAGATGCCGGTTCCAAGTCACCGCGAGTTAGAGGTAGCCGACGTCAGCGTCCACATCGATATCCCAATGCTCTCCATGATGAGCAAGCTCAGCCGTCCACGCACCGAGGCCAGGAGGAGGTACTCGTTCTGGAGGCCGCGCTTGTCGTTCCTGTAGGGCATCATCCTCGAGATGCAGTCTGGCGGGAAGTCCATGATCGTTGCCTCCGCCGCATAGACGTTGAGAGCGAGGATCCTCCACTCCGGGCACTTTCCACAGGGGTCC